AGTAGGATTGCCCAACCTTCCTTCCGAGGAGTGGCTGGTGGGTTTGAACCGCCAGCCTTCTGGTTAGCAGTCAAGTGCTTTAGCCACTATGCTACCAGAGTTTCTATATATGTATATATATATTTCTTTTACATGCTTTATAACAGTTTCTTAGAATAACTGCTTTATTTTAAGGCCTTGTTATGTTAATCAAAATAATGGTTTTTAGTGTACTTTTCAAATGAACTAATTTGTAATAAAGTTTCTTAGAGTAGTTACTGATAGTTCAATTATAAAGCAGCAACAAGAAGCAGTTTATTTGAAGCCAAGGCTTACAGCAACCTTATGGAGGCACAAAGAAGAAGATAAACCGGTTAGCAGTCAAATGCCTTAGGCACTATGCCACCAGAGCTCCCAGATTGAATGCTTTTTTTTTTTTTTTTAAACTCTTACTTATTTATTTATTATGCTTTGGGTGCAAATGTACAGAGCAAATTTGTTTTACATTCAACGGTTACACTCGTGATCACCATCCCCAACCATAACAAACTCTCTTCCCCTCCCATCTTGTGACTACCCCCTCCCTGTGCCCTTCTGAACTATGCATGAATGCTTGTTAGATGAGAACAGAAATCTTGTTTCTAGGTGATCCACCGCAGATTTTGTGCAGGTAGGAGCCATCCTGAGTGAAAATCACACACTCACTGGTCTCTGAAGTCAGTTTAAACAGTAGACTTAAGGTCTCTGCCTGTGCTTTTTCCATTTTATGATGAGCAACAGTATGACATTCTTAAAACAGCACAACACAAAACAAGGCATCACACACACAAATACAAGTAGCTACACAATTTCAAGCTATTTCAGTTAGGTCTACCAATTTTTAAATTACTAGGAGCTCTGGCAGCCTAGTGCCTAAGGCACTTGACTGCTAACCAGAAGGCTGGTGGTTCAAACCTACCAGCCACTCCTCGGAAGGAAGGTTGGGCAATCTACTTCTGTAGAGATACTTCCTTGGAAACCCAAGGAGGGGTCACTATGAGTTGGGTCCGACTCGATAGCAAATAACAACAACAACAGAGATTTCTCTTGGATCTAGTCTGATAATCTTTGTTCTAAAAGTGGCCTCTGACTTTCTAAAGAATTCTTTGGTAATAGTTTGCCAATGTCTAATGTATAAAATAACAAAGGGCCCCCTAAGGCTTACATATGTAAGCCACTGCAGTACTAGAAAGAGGTCCAACTTGACCTTGACAGAGGCATTCTCCATCTTACCAAGCAATAACATGTTTCAAAGTTTCTACAAAACAGGCTAAATTTCTTGCAAGAAATAGTGCACATACAAAAAACATCAAATGGCAACATTTAGCAACAGTGAAGAATTGCATTTGATTTAGCAATCCTTGGCAATGTGTACAAAACCTAGGTTATCAAAATGGGAGTCTGGGAGCAAACTCAGAAGTACACCAAAGTGTTTGCAAACAGAATAGAAACTTTTAGTCAAAATCTCTCACCGCTGCCACAAGTAGAGACAAATAACCTCTTGCAAAAGACCAAACTAAAACCCGCTCTGCTGAAAGCTGTCCACCATGGGTGACCCTATTGGTATTTGAAATACCAATGGCATAGCCACCGCAGCCTGCAACATGCAAGCCACCACAGTACAACAAACTGACAGATGAGAGGTAGAAGGAATACGTAGAGTCACTGTACCAAAAAGAATTGCTCCATGTCCAGCTATTTCAGGAGGTAGCATGTGATCACAAACCAATGATACTGAAGGAAGAAGTCCAAGCTGCACTGAGGGAATTGGCAAAAAAACAGGACTCCAGGAGTTGACAAAATACCCATTGAGACGTTTCAACAAACAGAGGCCACTCTGGAGGCACTTATTCATTTATGCCAAGAAATTTAGAAGCTACCTGGCCGACTAACTAGAAGAGATTCATATTTGTGCCCATTCCAAAGAAGGGTATACAACAGAATGTGGAAATTATCTAACAATATCATTAATATCACTCACTCACTCACTCACTGCTGTTGAGTCGGATCTGACTCATAGCGACCCCTCCTTGGGTTTCCGAGGTGGTATCTCTATGGAAGTAGATTGCTCACTCTTCCTTTCAAGGAGTGGCTGGTGGGTTTGAACCGCCAGCCCTCTGGTTAGCAGTCAAATGCCTTAGGCACTATGCCACCAGAGCTCCTTATCATTAATATCACACACAAGTAAATTCTTGCTGAAGATAATTAAAAAATGGTTGCAGCAGTGTTTCAAGCTGGATTCAGAAGAGAATGTGGAATGAGAGATATCATTGCTGATGTCAGATGGATATTGACTGAAAGCAAAGAATACCAGGAAGATGTTTACCTGTGTTTTATTGACTATGCAAAGGCCTTTGACTGTGTGGATCATAACAAATTATGGATAATATTACAAAGAATGGGAACACTTAATTCCAGAACAGTTAATTGTGCTCTTGAGGAGACTGTACATAGACCAAGAGGCTGTCATTCAAACAGAACAATGTATGGTTTAAAATCAGGACAAGTGTTTGTCAAGGTTGTATCCTTTCATCATACTTATTCAATCTGTATACTGAGCAAGTAATCCGAGAAACTGGACTATATGAAGAAAATTTGGCATCAGGATTGGAGGAAGATTCATTAACAACCTGCAATATGCAGATGACACAACCTTGCTTGCTGAAAGTCTTGAAACATTTACTGATGAAGGTCAAAGACTATAGTCTTTAGTACGGATTACAGCTCAACGTAAAATAAAAATCCTCATAACTGGACCAATTCGCAACATTATGATAAATGGAAAAACAATTGAGGTTGTCAGGGATTTCATTTTACTTGGATCCATCCAAGTGGATGGATCAACACCATGGAAGTAGTAGTCAAGAAACCAGATGTCCTATCACCCTGGGAAAATCTGCAGCAAAAGACATCTTTCAAATGTTAAGAAGCAAAGATGTCACTTTGAAGACTAAGGTGCGTCTAACTAAAGCCATGGTATTTTCAATCATCTCATATGCATGTGAAAGCTGGACAATGGATAAGGAAAATTGAAGAAGAGTTTATGCCTAAGAATTGTGGTGTTGGTGAAGAATACTGAAAATTGGTGGACTGCCAGAACAAACAAATCTATCCTGGAAGAATTGCAGATGGAATGCTCCTTGGAAGTGAGAATGGCCAGACTTCATCTCACCTACTTTGATCATGTTGTCAGAAGGAACCATTCACTGGAG